ACTTCCTGTGTTTGTTTATTAATTATAACAGGAGACATTAGAACCTCATTGCAACATAACTCATCTTCCCCCTCCCCCCATGCCCTCATTTAAAAAAATTTTTTTCTACTAATTTATTTACAAAATTCAAACACAAATTTGAACAAATTCTTTAAATTTCCCTCACCACCCCCATCAATTTGTACAACCCAATGATTAATCCACCCTTCCCCCTGCACATCCACATGCTGCTGCTTCCAGCCTCTCCCACCCCTCCTGGATCCTTATACTCATTCTACAATAAGGGTTTTATACAATATTTATCCTTATGGGACTGAGTTAGTTCACTCAGCAAAATGCTCTCCAGTCCCTCCCAAGTTAGGCAATAATTTACAAAGTTATTTTTTCCTGTGTGTTGCATACTATTCCATTGTGTGAATGCACCATAATTTCTCAATCCATTCGTTTGTGGTTGGATATCTGGGCTGTTTCCATGTTCTTGAGATGATGAATAAAGCGGCTAGGAATATTGGTGTACAAATCTGTTTGTGCTTCAGTTCTAATATTTTTAGGGTATATTCCAAGTAGTGTAATAGCTGGATCATATGGAATCATCTTTAAAAAACAATGTGAAATAGCAAGAAGTTGGAAACAACCCAGGTGCCCATCAACAAACAAATGGATAGAGAAGTTGTGGTATATTTACACAATGGAATACTATGCTGCATTGAAAAACAAGGAACTCATGAAATATTATTCAAAATGGGTGAGCCTGGAGGACATTATGCTTAGTGAAATATCTCAGTCGCAAAAGGACAAATATTGCATGGTGCCACTGTTGTAAAATGGGACTGATATCAGGGTTGGGGTAAGACTGAGAAAAACTGGATAAATTTTGTATACTGCACTGAAACAGATGAGGGAGTGAATAATTTAAAAGTGATGTATAATAGTGTGTTATGGTTATCACAAGAGTCCACAATTAAGGTTGCATAGTGGAATGTACTTGGGGTGGCGGGAGGGGTGCAGGGGGGATTGTGTACCAGGGAGGGAGTGTTTCCTTTACTGTTGAAAGAAAGAAGCGAACTGGGTGGGGGGGGGGGGCGAGAGGGTTGGGCGGAGAGAGAAGTGCAGCAATGAATGAATGGAAATCCAAAATCTCTGTAAATGCTCATTAAAATTATTAAAAAAAATAAAGCTTAAAAAAACAAAACAATGTGAACTGGAAAAATAGAATTACAAAGATTAAGCATATTACATATCTGGATGAACTGATACATGTCAATTTGATACACTCAGTGGAATCACAAAAGAAAGGGGAAGGGATCTCTTTTCATAAAGATTGTAGACTTGAAAACCCTGTGGAGCTCAGTGCTTCTCTCTAGCACATGGGGTCACCATGAGTCAGAATCAACTCAGCAGCAACAGATTTGTTGTTAGGTGCCATCGAGTCGAGTAAAACTCATAGGAACCTTCTAAACAATGGATCTACACCCTGTCCTATCCTGTACCATTCTCACAATGTCTGACACACTTGAGTCCATTGCTTTACTGTCAATCTGCCTGGTTAAGGGTCTTCACCTTTCTTTCACTGTCCATCCACCTTCCCAAGCATGATGTCTGTCTCCAAGGAATACCCTCTCCCAACCACATGTCAAAAGTATATAAGACTTTATCATTTTTGCCTCCAAGGAGCACTCTTTCTGCACCTTTTCCAAGACATATTTGTTTGTTCTTGTGGCAATCCATGAGATATTTAGTATTCTCCTCTAACACCACAGTTTAAAGGAATAAATTCTTCTGTAATCCTTATTCACTGTCCAGCTCTCAGCAGCATAGCAAGTGCTTGAATTGTTCTGTTGGGGAAATGATCTGCATATTGCTAATGATGTTGTAGAACTTTATAGTTCTAATTAGTACAGCTCTTGTCTGTCAGTTTGCTGTATTGCGGTTTCTTCTGGGTGCTGTGAAAGCTGTACCACCAGAATTTCAGATGCCAGAGAGGTCATTTATCGTGGACAGGTTTTAGTAGAGCTCTCAGATTAAGAGAGACTAGAGTGTAGAACTGGCCATCCATTTCTGAAATAGCAGACCTCTGAAAACTCTAGGAACAAGAAGAACATGGTTAGTTATAGTATTAGAGGTAGAGTCCAGATTGGAAGTCATCCAATATGAGGAGAAACAACTGCAACAAATTCACAATTACATGCTGTTCATCAGAGAGCTTGACAATGCCTAAAGGTGACAGAAGAAAAATTGATGCCTTTTAGTTGTGGTGCTGGAGAAGAGTTTTGAACATACCATGGACCACCAGGAGAACAAATAGGTCTGTACTGGAGAGGGTAAAAACAAGTTTCTCCTTGGAGACTAGGATTTGGAAGCTCTGTTTGAGCTACTCCCTGAAATAACTGATCATTATTCGGTTCTTTTTGGTATAATGACTGCATATTCCTTTCATCTTCTTTTGATGCTTCTTGGATTTTTCAGTGTTTTGCTCCTAAGATCCGTAGGTTGCATCTTGTTGTGCCTGTTAGTTGCTGTTGCATTGGCAACGACTCATAGTGACCCTATAAGTAGCATCTGCATCTTGCCCTGTCGACCGTATCCTGTGCTGCCTTCAGACTCTGATATGCTTGAGCCCATTATGTATGGAAGCTTGCATTTCCCCCCTCCTTTATATCTTTCCCTCCCTCATATTTTTCTAAACTTCTTTCAGCTTGAGAAATATACAGTATATTCTTCCTTTTTGGATTTCTAACTCAGGGTTTTTGCATCATTATAGTTTTTTTCTTTGTCGTCTTGAGCTGCCCTTTGAAAACTTTTGTTGGTGTAGAGAAACTACAGTGCAAAGAAAAAATGATGACAAAAGAGAGCTCACTGATGATTAGATGCTGTCATTTATGTTATGGACTGACAATCAGGTGATTCTGTACAGCATCAGAAAACAGAACAATGGCAATACATTTTTGCTAGTACAAAGAAAATATTTACAACCCTTAATTTTGTTCCAATTAACAAATAGTGGTGAAATCCTGAATAGGATCTTAGAGCAGAAAATGATTTTTTAGGCTCTTGTAGTAAAAAAAAAAACAAAAACACAACAAACCAGTAACCATTGCAGTTTCAAAATCCGAGGAAAGCAGTTTATTTTTTAAAAAGTTTCCATATAATTATTAATATATTGATTCATATATTGCGATAGAAATTTATATATATATTAATGTATTCAGCAATTCATCTTCTTGTTATTGTGTACCATTGAGTCAGAACTGACCCATTACTGACCCTCTGGTGAGTTTTCAGAGGCAGTTAATTGCGTGGGAGAAGGTTGAGCCTCCTCCTCCGTCAGAGCAGCTTGTGGATTTGAACCGTGTGCCTTCAGGATTGCAGCACAGCTTCTTGCCACTAGGCCACCCAAGCTTCACTTTGTATATGTACTTTGTGCTCTATTTGTACTTTGTGTTTTATACAATCATTCATATAGATTATATTTTATATAATTACCGTTGTTTTATGCCTCCTATCATCTGGTCTTTTCAAGTCCCCATTGAACTTCCCTCATTCCTTCACACCCCCTTGCACCCACTAACCTCTGCGATCCCAGTGACTTTCTCCTTTTCCCTTTTTCTGCCCTTCTTCTTTCCTTTTTCTTTTTGAACATTTATACATATCTTCCTTAGTTAGCCTCCTATTTTCACAATTCTGGCTGCATGCAAGAAAAGTGGATTATTAAGATAGACTGTTGTGGAAGGAAAAAAGATGATAGGTAAAGAAAGGAGAACAGAGCTGCATCGCTCACCGACCCGGCGCTCTGAGGCAAAGAAGCTCCTGGGCTTGGTGTACCCTGAGCGATGGAGGCTGTCAGGTGCATAACTGGAGTCCAGAACAGGCTATGGGATTCCTCACCAAGATCCGGTCACACATCCACATAAGACCTGGCCAGTTAGAAGCTCTCAAAGAGTTCCACGAGATTACTGCAAGGGCAGCAAAGGACAAGCCTGGCCACATTAAAGACATGAAGTGTGTGGATTAGAAAGAACTCAGCAACACTCCTGCTTGCCACAGAATAAAAAAAAAAGAAAAAATTACCAGAACCAAAGGAGCTTAAGTCTACTTGACATACCAGAAACGTTCTAATGGGGAATGGTGCTTCATTTGTCTTTACTGTTTAAAGTTTGGGAGTTGAGGGAGGAGAGAGATTTAGTACTGCCTCTGTTCATAGGGTAAAGAATGTGGGCCAATGATGGAGAGCCTCTTATTTTCATGATCGGGGTCAAAGAAATATTAATTTCAACAACAACGAAAAAATTTGGTATGCAAACCATTATAAAAAAAAGTTTAAAAAGATATCACACTGTCTATCAGTGGCTTGTAGATAGATAGTGCTTGATGGAAATAAATCAAAACATGAAAGCTTAAAACAATAAAAGAAAAAAGAAAGGAGAACGAGGGCTACCAGCAGGACAGCTTCTCTCGAGACTCAGAATGGCTGCATCCTTTTGGAAATGTATACAAGTTATAATATTAACGTTTCCTTCACATCAAGTTGCTAAAAGGGGGTTGTTGATACGTCTTGATTTTACAGGTGTCTTTGATATAAGAATCTTTTGATATGGGTCATGAATCCAGTCGTAGTAGGACACAGAATATTTACTCACAGGCACGGAAAGGAGGGAAACCCAAACGTGCTACTTCAGTGTATTCTTAGTGACCAAGGCAATAGAAGCCTTCAGCCTAGGTCAGTGAGGGATGAAAACGGAAATGAAGTGCGCTCAAGACAAGTGCTCTAAAAAAAAAAAAAAAAAAGACAAGTGCTCTTTGTTCTTTGTTGTGAACAAAAGGCCTGAAGCCCCTCTACCACTATCGACAGTTATCAAAGTTCATCGAGTTTCTGGAGGCATGTTGTTTAGGAAGTGGATGCAACAAGATGGCTTTTTTTGTTGTATGAAAATATCTACATTCTATTTCTTAACCTTTTTTTTTTTTTTTTTTAGATTTCATACATGAGCTTATTTATTTGCCACACATAGAAGGTTCGATTTCTGACTGGATTCGGCTTTGGAGATAGACGCTCTCAGAGAGGACAGCCTCCGTCTCTCGGCGATCTGCGCAGACGTTTTTCTTTGGTTCCTTTGTTCTCTTGGCCAAAAGCTGAGCGACCTCTGCGGCCTCCTTCTTATTCTCCCCAGGGCGCTGTTGCTTCAGCAAAATGCACCAGCGCTTGTGCTGCAGAACATGTGGAGTAACAAGACGCTGAATTTAGGGTGCTTTGGTCCTGGGTTTCTTACCTTCTTTGTTCAGTGGCTTTCTCGCAACATATTGACAGACATCATCTTCCTTGGAGAGACTGAAGAGTTTGTGAATTCCACTGGCTCTCTTGGGCCCCAGGAGATGAGGCACAGTGGTGTCAGTCAGTCCTGGGATATCCTTCTCCCCTTTCTTGACAATAACCAAGTTGAGAACACCCAGCTTGGCATCCACAATGCAACCCCGGATAGATTTGTGCGTCCTCTGTCCAGTTCTCCATGATCTGTGACGGAGTGCCCCTTACTCAGCAGGAGGCGAGCTCAGCCATGGGTCAGAACACCCTGCTTCATGGGAAAACCCTGCTTGTCGTTTCCACCGCTGATCCGGACAACATATCCCTTCCACTCGTCACCGAGAGAGTCAGCAACAACTTCTGTGGCCATTCGCTTCTCATCAAATGTACGAAGTTTGCGTTCATTGTCCACTTCAAAGAGATTTTGGCAGCCAGTGGCTGAGTAAGAGATGTTCAGCTTCATGGTGAAGCAGCTGATTGCCCCAGCGGCACCAGGAAAAAGAGCAACTTTAAAAAAAAAAAAGAATGAGCACAAATGAGGATCTCTTCCAGTCAGTTGGCCAGGTGTCTATTTTCCAAATTTCTTGGTGTGGGTGAGTGTCTTAGAGCTTCATATATCTTTTGAACTGTTACTGAATGCAAGGGGTTCTCTTCATAGTCAATTACGAATAAGACAGGTGGATTGCAATCTACAAAGCACTTTATTGCAGATCTGGGAGAGCAGGGAGAATCCTCTCAAACCCGCCTCTGTCTAAGACTGGTCAATGGCTTTTATTCTTGGGCTAGATGTTAGGTTTGTCCTGGAGAGGGTTAAACCAGGCTGTTCCTTGGAGGCAAGGATTCTGAAGCTTTGTCAGACATACTTTTTACATGTTGCAAGGAGGGACCAGTCCTTGGAGAGGGCTGTCATGCATCATGCTTGGGAGGGTGGAGGGGCAGTGCAAAAGAGTAAGATTCTTGATGAAATGGGTTGATTCAGTGACTGGGTTAATGGTGGTAGCTGTGTCAGAGACAGTAAGATTTGCATAAAATACAGCAAGGTTTAGGACTGTTGTACATAAGGTCTCTATGAGCACAACACAACACAACAGATGTTAATTCAGTTCAAAGTCACAGGATTTTTACATTAAAAAAGAACAATTTACATACAGCTACTAGCAAACAGACAAGTTATGGTATAGTTTATATGTTTGTTGTTGTTATGTGCCATCGAGTCGTTTGCGACTCATAGTGACCCTATGTACAACAGCCCTAAACCCTGCTCTAGCCTGTGCCAATCTCATGGCCTCCGACACACCCATACTGCTTCAAAGGTAAACGCTAATCTAGGAAAGACATATTTCTCCTCCTGATAAACAAGCAGCTTAAAGTGCTTTCCAAAACTAAAGAAAGAGAAGTAGTTTCTAGGGCAAAGCAATTAGTTTTGCAGGCCAGAGGCAACTGATATCAGTTTTAAGATGATCCCATATGTTTGAACAAGCCTGAACTTAATACCACTCTATCAGAACCATCTCAACCTGGTGTTTTATCAATTCCTGGAATTGAATTTTTTGCTAATGTCTTTAATTAAGTCTGAAATTCTTCCCCCCCCCTTTGTTAAGATCCCCCCATACTAATTTCTTTACAAAATTCTAATACATTGACTTCGAGAACAGATTCTTCCCATTTCCCTCCCCCCAACTCATTAAAGTTGTACAGTTTGAAATTCTTCTTTTAGTTCTTTTTAAAATTGTGATTTGAATGGAATTTTACAAAGAAATCAACTTTTGATTCACTTATTTATACAGCTTTATCTCCCTCTTTCCTTCCCTTTCATCCCCAATGCATGTCCTGTACCAGCTTGTTAGTTGCATTACTCATAATGTCTTTCCTTCCATTCTTTCTAGAATTAGCCTCTGTTCACCTATTCTGTTGATCTATCCATTCACGCCAACTCTCTGCCTCCCACAGCTTCCACTCACCTTTAGTCCTCTTGATTTTATAGTAGTGTATACCATTGGACCAATTGGCAGCATCAGGATGGATGGTGAAGAGATTGAGATTGTACACAGTTTTAGTTTGCTTGGCTCCACAGTCAACACTCTTGGTACCAGTAGACAGGAAATTAAAAGGCGCGTTGCCATGGGAAAGTCTGCTGTTAGGGACCGCTCCAAAGTACTGAAGAGCAATGGTGTCTTCCTGGAGACTAAGGTGCGTTTGATACAGGCCATGGTTTTCACAATCACTTGTTATGCATCAGAGAGTTGGACAATGACCAAAGAGGATAGAAGGAGAATTGATGCCTTTGAGCTGTGGTGCTGGAGAAGAGTATTGAGAATACCATGGACTACTAGAAAAACAAACAGATTTGTCCTGGAAAGGGTTAAACAGGGTGGCTCTTTGGAGGCAAGGATTCTGAGGCTCCATCTAACATACTTTGGACATCTTGTGAGGAGAGACCGGTCCTTGGAGAAGGGTATCATGCTTGGGAGGGTGGAGGGACAGCGCAGGAGGGGAAGGCCCTCTATGAGGTGGATTGATTCAGTGACTGGGATAATTGGGATGGGAGTGTCGGAGACAGTGAGATTGGCACAGAACAAAGCAGAGTTTAGGACTGTTGTACATAGGGTCGCTATAAGTCTCAAGCGACTCGACGGCACATAACAACAACAATATATTTATATAGTAGTCCACTTGCCCTTTTATAACTGAGTTAATGAACTCAGTAGGGATCTTTGCCAGCCTGGTGGCAAGGAGTTATGCTGCAATCCTGAAGGAACGAGTTTCAAGGTCACCAGCTGCTCTGTGGGAGAAGGATGTGATTAACAGCCTCTGAAAACCCGCTGGAGGGTGAGGTATGGGTTGGTTCTGACTCTTTGGCACACAACAACAACAACAACAACAACAACAACATAATGATCTCTAGGTTTATTCATGCTATACAGTGTTTCTTCACATCTCCATTGGTTGGCAATACTGCATAATACTCCATTCTGTGGATGTACCACAGTTTCACTACCCATTCATTTGCTGATGGACAGTTGCGCTGCTTCCATCTCTTTGCTATTGTGAGTAGCACTTCAATAAACATGGATGTGCATACATCTGTTTGTGTATCAGCTCTGATTTCTTAAGAGTCTATTCCCAGGAGTGAGATATCTGGATAAAAGGGTACTTCTATGTCCAGCTTGGTGAGGAAGTGCCAGAACTCCCAAAGCAGTTGTACCATTTAAAATTCCCATCACCAGTGTATGAGACTACGTCCTCTCTGGCATTTGCTATTTGCTGTCCTGTTGAACTTTGCCATTGTTGCTGGGGTGAGATAATATCTCATTGTTGTTTTGATCTGCATCTCTCCAGGTGAGATAGATTGACAAATTAACTGGGGTAGTGATGGTAGGTGTGTCAGAGACAGTGAGATTGGCTTAGGATACAACAGGATTCAGAGCTATTGTGTATCGGGTTGCTACGAATCAGCAACTGGATGACACACAACAACAACAACAACAGCTAGGGAGTTTGAACCTCTTCATGTGTTTGCTGGCTTGCTTTCTTCTTTGATGAAGATTCTATCTCTTCTGCCCACTTTGTGATAGGGTTATTTGTCTTTTTTGTGGCAACTACTTTCCTTCAAGATGATAATACTACATGTAAGGAGTTCTGGTGGCTGAATGATAAGAAACTGCACTGCCAATACAAAGGCACATGGTTCTAATCCACCAGCTGCTTCCAAGGAGAAAGATGGGCAATCTCTTCCATGCAATTTATTGCCCCTGAAAATCTGCTGGAAGCCAGCGATGTTTAAGTCCACAACAAGTGGTTGGTGGTTTAAACACAGCCAGAGACATTATAGATGAAAAGTCTTGTAATGTATTTCCAAAAGATCATAGCTGTGAAAATGCTAAATTCTAGTTTGTATACATGGATTCATCCTGGAGAGGGTTAAACCGGGCTGCTCCTTGGAGGCAAGGATTCGGAGGCTTTGTCTGACATGGCTTGGAGAAGGACATGAAGCTTGGGAGGGTGGAGGGGAGGCGCGGGAGGGGAAGGCCATCTATGAGGTGGATTGAGTCAGTGACTGGGGTAATCAGGATGGGTGTGTCAGAGATGGTGTGATTGGCTCAGGACAGAGCAGAGTTTAGGGCTGTTGTACATAGGGTCGCTATGAATCACAAGCAACTCGATGGCACATAACAACAACAACATACATGGAGCTACTGCCATGAGTTTGAAGCAACTTCTCCAGTTGGTCAGGTCTTTGTGACAGTTTTCCCGAGACTGTGTCTGGTTGGTAATCATCACCACTTTGGCACACCATTCACTATTCACATGAACACCATCTACTCTGTATCAGCTCCTTAGTGTCAGAAGAGGTATCTTCTACTCCTGGGTCTCCCAATTGCACTACTCTCTCCTCACAGCCCAAGGACAGAGGGTGTAGACAGGAACCCTACTCATGATCTTACTTCCCCAATGATTCTTCCTTCCTCTCTCCTGGCAAAGTTCTTATCTGGTCTTTAGGTTAGAGTGTGAGGGTGGTGACAAACTTCCTGTAGTTGGTTTTATATTATGCCCCAAGTCACTTAACTAACTTGTTAAAAACTCATACTTGAAAATGCTTTCCGAAAAATATTTCCAAACAAAATGTAAACTAATACAATTTCGTTCAGTGACATTTAAAGTTGTGCCAGCGATCTCACCCTTTCCCCCCACCCTCTTTTTTAATTATCTCTTCCTCGTTAGCATAACCTCACTGCCCACTAAGTTTCCTATCTGAGTTTTCAAGTTGATTTTTCAGTATGATCCCGTACAATTGATAGGCACTGTCAGTTGACCAAGACTCATAGCAACCCTATGAACAACAAACAGATCTGAACCTTGCCCTGTCTTATACTATCTTCACAATCTTTGATATGCTCAAGGCCATTGTTAAGATCACTAGGTCAATTGCTATGAGTTGAAATAAATGAGTTGGCACCTAAATAAAAAATAAACTTACATAATTCCTTACAACCAAGCCACTAAAATTCCTCATTACCAATCTTTATTAATACATTAATAAATAATAATAATAAAGAATCATAAAATAATATTTGCTAAATAAGCTATTAATATTTATATCCTTCTCCCTTATTAAATAATGACAGAAGAAAATTCAAGTGCATACAAATTTAATTTTTTTGAAAAAGATTATTTTGGAGAAAAAGAATCAGTAGCTCTTAAGCCTGGCTTGGTGGATGAAGTTAGTAACAATAAATATATATTTTAGATTGCTTTTATTATGTATCCTCTGATTGAATCTTTTTTCCTTCTTATTCTTTGATTGAATCTTACTAATTTTCAATGCTGTTGTTGTTATGTGCCATCAAGTCAGACGAACCCATAGCTAACCTTTCAGCAGGTTTACAGGGACAGTAAATCACATAGGAGGAGATTTCCTTTCTTTTCTCTCAGAGAACAACTTGTGGTGGATTTGAAACACAT